TTAGGCCTCGTTTGGGAATATGTTTTTTTAGTAATTTTTAATTTTTTACGAAAAAGTTGCAAAAAAATAAAGAGGAGTAATGTGACAATTTATAATGACTTTTTAACTTTTTGGCTAAAACTGAAAGTTGCCAAACGAGGCCTTATTTTCAATAGGATTTGATGAGAATTAAGTCAAATTATTAAAATCTATTGGTAGTTGTCACGACCCAAACCCGGCCCTATGGGTTTAGCACCGTAACCGGCCAGTAATCCGAGATTACCGAAGCCTGCAGAACAGTAATACAGTAAAACAGAGTACAGGGCCTGGCGGAAGCCAGTACAGTAAGTAAATAGTGTCCATTGAGCTGTGACAGTCTGTATGCAAAAAGGCTTTCATGCATTCATACATAAACGGTACAGAACAGTAAGTACAATATTTACATCCATTCCAACTAGGGACTCAACCCTACAGAACAGTACAGAAACATTCCGTCTGTACAAAACAGTACGGTCTATACAAAATTTACAGTTACACAGTACAGGGACCTAATCCCTGTATAACAGTACAGTAAACAGTCAGGCTATATAGAACAGTTAGACAGTACAGAAGACAGGCGGGGGAAAACCAACAAAACACCCTCAAGCCATAGCATGGCAACTCGGAACCTTGCGTGAGGCACTCGTCACGACCCAAACCCGGCCCATGGGTTTAGCACCGTAACCGGCCAGTAATCCGAGATTACCGAAGGCCTGCAGAACAGTAATACAGTAAAACAGAGTACAGGGCCTGGCGGAAGCCAGTACAGTAAGTAAATAGTGTCCATTGAGCTGTGACAGTCTGTATGCAAAAAGGCTTTTCATGCATTCATACATAAACGGTACAGAACAGTAAGTACAATATTTACATCCATTCCAACTAGGGACTCAACCCTACAGAACAGTACAGAAAACATTCCGTCTGTACAAAACAGTACGGTCTATACAAAATTTGCAGTCCACACAGTACAGGGACCTAATCCTGTATAACAGTACAGTAAACAGTCAGGCTATACAGAACAGTTAGACAGTACAGAAGACAGGCGGGGGAAAACCAACAAAACACCCCCAAGCCATAGCATGGCAACTCGGAACTCGCAGTGAGGCACAAAGGCTGGCTTGACAAAACTGGAGTAACCCTGACGCCTCTAGCTGCGGTCTGGTGCCTGTACACCTACATATATATAATGAGCAGTGAGCTAAAGCCCAGTGAATAACATAAAGCGTAAAGGGGTTTAGAATGAATGTCCCTTACAGTAATAAAAACAGTTCAATTCAATCAGTATTTCGGTCATTCAGTACAGTAAACAGTCATATGTGGTACATCCATTAGCATAACAGTAACAGTAGGTCTTGAAAGACCGAACAGTAATGATGGCCATCAGTTGTAAACAGTAGTGGTTCCACGAGGGAACCGACAGAGATCTCTGTACAGTAACAGTAACAGTAACAGTAAACAGTAGGTGCTAAGGATGCCACAGTACAGTTCAGAAATAAAGGACATACATTCATTCAGTTAACAGTAATCAGTTCAGAAAACAGTACAGTTTCAGTGGTTCAGAAAATAATCATTGTGAACATATCTTTACACAATCGTTACTCACAGAGTTCTGGGCTACAGTATGCTAGAGCGTGTCTCCCCAGTTGCCAACCCTACACAGTTCACAGGTTGAACACACTAAGCTACACAGTTGGGAAATCTCATAACTTAATCCCTAATTGCCTTGGTGTGTTCTACAATGATATCCTCATCAAGATGCCTTAAACTAGGCCTAAGAATGCCTAGGATGGAATGAGGATGCAAAAATACACTTAGAAAACATTTTGCAAATTTGCTGAAAATAGGGGCTTCGCTCGAGCGAGACTTTCTACGCTCGAGCGTAAGTCCAAAATCAAAGGCTTCGCTCGAGCGAGGAATCCTTCGCTCGAGCGGTCTGCAAAACAGTAAAAGTACTGGATGCTGAAATTTTACGCGGCGATCGTCGCTCGTGTCGCTCGAGCGGAGCCCTGGACAAAGGTGCTCGCTCGAGCGGGGAATCCTTCGCTCGAGCGAGGAAGCCAAATCTGGAATTTCCAGATTTGCCTCCCAAGCTCAAACGAAGCATTCAACCACTCCAAACTCGACCTCTTGGGCTCAAATTCTGGAAAACACTACTAAATTCAATGTATAACAAGATTCAAAGCTCAATTCATGAATTCAAGCCCCAAAGGTGAGTCAATTAAAACCATATTTCAAACCCATTTTCAAGAACAACATTCAAACATGCATGAATGAGTTTTAACCCAAATTGAAGCTCCAAAGCTTGCTCAAATGAGCTCATTTCTTTCCAAAACCAGATGAAAACATGGTCCATAACAACAATATGAGCATGCATGTACCAATGTCCATGTAATCAACCTCAAAATGCAACAATACCAACATGCATGCAAGAAATGATCTTCAATCCATCATTAATGAACCAAATCATGACTTAGCTCTACAAATTAACATGATCATGCAAGAATGAACTCAAGGACAGCAACAAGAAGATGGATGTCCTACCTTAGTCTTGAGAATTAGGAGTGAGGGAGCTCAAATATGCAAATACACTTCAATCTCTCTCAAGTTCCAAGCAATGCAAGATGAAACTCACTCTCTCCCTCTCAAGGTCGGCTAAAGCAAGGAAAATGGCTGATCAAAATGTGTTTTGATTCAAGTATAAGCTCAAGTGGGGTGTATATGAGATAGTGGCAAAATGGTAAATATGGCAAACTCTTTAATTGGCTTATTTTAATCTAATTTAATCATACCTAATCATTTTCAGATAAATATACCATAAAATCACATTAATTATGAGGGTCACGGAACATCAATCGGTTTCTAATTCGGCCGCCGATAAGGCCTTCAATTAGCAGTTTAAAACTATAAACATGAAACAGATAAATCAGACAATCAACCAGATAGAATGCAATTAACTAACATATACTCAGTTAATTCAGATTCCAATTTCAATCAGTCAGTTCAGTACTTTACTCAGTTCAATTATCAGTCAGTTATCAGTTATTATCCGTTTCGTTTAACAGTAATCGGTGATTATCGGTAATCAATCAGTCCCTAATCAGTAAACAGTATGAGGGTTGTTACAGTAGTTTATCCAATTTTTTAAATTTTATTAAAAGCAATATATTATTGGTTGGTTCTAAGGGTGCACGCAAATCAAATTAGATTAAGTGACATTCTATTGGTCATTTGTCTGAACTTAGACAAATTAAATAAATTCGGCAAATTAGAAAAAATAAATCCACAAAAATTATTCTGCATCCATCTGCCTTAGTTAACAAATGCAGATTGAATGAGCAGTGCCTGCTTACTTAGCTGATGCAGATTGAACCAACTTGGTAACTATTGTTTTGGACCTTTTTTTTAAAATTATTTTCTTGTATTTTTTTTTATTTATTGTTTTGGGCGCCCAACTTTTTTTATTCTTCATTTTTTATAATAAAAAGAAGGCCTAACTATCATATTTTGTGATCTTTTGGGAACACAGCTAAAAGTTGCGTTTAGCACCTCCAAAAACGCAAGATCAGGGACCTAAAAACGCACCACCAGGGGTGGTGGCCTGGTGGAGAAAGCACCTGGTCTCTTCAGGTTGACCCAGGGTCGAATCCTGGGGGGGAGTGTGGAAGTGTACTCTTCGGAGACCCCCCCTCTGTACTCCGGTTCGAACCTTCGGCGAACTGCGGCGCGTAGGTGAGCTCCACACAGTGCCCTAGTGGTGGGTCCCCCACATGGTGGGGGTTAATTCCTAGCTGGCAACCAGTTACCCCGGGGTTAGGGCCCACAGGGGGCGTGATGACACCTCAGATCCATTTTTTTTCTGATCCCAAAAAAAAAAAAAAAAAAGGGACCTAAAAACGCAGAACACCATTTGGCAACTTTAGCAAAAAGCAAGCTGTTAAATGACGTTACTACCCTCCGTGGTTAGAAGTTGAATCCTATGGTAAAATCATCTCATTTTGTGTTTTCTACTGCTCTCTTTATCACTTCTCCTTCTCACCGTTGCTACCGAACTGTCCAACAATCGGAGATGAAAGCATCCACCACCGAAGCTGCCTCTGAAGTCGTCGTCCACATCCTTGCCGTCGGTAGATCTGCAGCATCAAGTAAGCACAGAACCCATGTGCCGTTGTTTTCTAGTTCAGAGTTATTTCATAAATGTATTCGTCGAAATCTTACACATCTACTTTCTTGAACATTTGTATGCTGTAATTGTTGAGGATTCTGGCTTCCACTTCAATGATCCTGCCCTCTATCATGTTGTATTTCGGATTTATGTCGTCTGTGTTCTGTAACCACAGAACAACAACGCCCTCACTACCTCTGTGTTTCTGCTACTCTCTTCCCTCATAGCTGTTGTTGGGTTGGCATCCTTTACACACGAAAAAATAAAAAAATAAAAAAAAACTTATATGAAAGTTAGTAATGGGGGTTATGAGTATGCACAATCAACATTGGGCCAAATTGAAAACTTTATTTTGTTGTAAAATTAAACAAGACTGTTTTCAATATTCTAATGCGTGTGCCCTTGTCTCTTTTGCCCATATGCATTGGTAACCGTAGGATTGATTTATATCTGTAAGATAAACACCAATTTAAAGCTTTTCCCAAATTTGGCAGATTTGCTTCCATTGTTGTGTTCTTTGACATCTTGCTATGTTTTTTCCTATGAGGTATATTCAAGGCTGCAGTGCAAGTGGGAAACACTGTAAATTTGATTAATAATTCAGTAAAATACATGGTGCTGACCAACTGATGAACCTGTTTGATTGTGGTACTGCGAGTATATATGATATTTCTTGTTTACAGATGTTTGCTAATTTTGAACTTAGAATCTGTATTACATGAACTTAGCCACTATATGACCTATGCTTTTGTATATAGATATTGAGCTCCTAGCCCCCAGTTGTCCCCTAGGTTCTTTTTTTTTTTTTTTTTTTTTCTTTTTTTGGGGGGGGGGGGGGAAATTGAAGAACAATGATACTGACAGTTCTTTTAGGCAACCTCTGCCGTGTTCCATATTCGTCTACATGTACTTGCTAAACCATATTGAATAGTTTAATTTTGGAAGATTTTAGGGAGTAGAGGAGTGTTTGATGTATATATAAGTTCGTAACTATGTGGGAGGGGGAAAATGCCTTACACAATACAATATAATAAGAAAATGAATGGCAAATCACCGACAATGATGGCGTCATCAATTTCAGCTGCCACTTCGTCCTACCCACGAAGGATGTGTGCATGTGGCTTTGGACATTACGTTGTCATGATTTCCAGATCTGCCAAAAACTCAGGTCGTGCATACTACGTTTGCCCTAGGCCGACGGTGCATACCGCCCCTCTGTTATGCATTTAGTCATGTGGTTGTTCATTTGTTCGTATGTCGCAAATCATGTCATCTAACTATATTTCACTTGTGTACGGCAGCGCTATGTTATGTAGGTTGGTTGGTGTGATGAGTTCTATAGCGAAAGGTTTGCCATTTACCACCCACCGAATGTTGTCGATACGGGGTTACGTGCGGATGTTACACGCATAGATCAGAGCCTACGTATGCTTAGGATTGTTGTAGGTGTTTTGTGTGTCGTTGTGATTATCTTGTTGTTCCATATGTGATGCATTTTCTTATCTTATGTTACCTATATAGTTTGTTTTGCATAAACAAGAACTGTTATGTATCGTTGTTGGCAGTTAAGCATAGGGTTTTGTATTACTTTAATTTCATTGCAAATTGCACGATGAACTTTTATTGTCATGCACATTTGGTTTGTACTATGCACTGTAACTTCCGTAATCATTTATCGGAAGCCTGTTTAACATTGTGGACAGGGAAAACAATTAATTATACAACTACATCATTAACTTGACATATATTTGTTAGATTTCATTTTCCATCACTCCAACTACACCAAAACTTTTCTTAAGCCGTACTACTGATCATGGAAACAAACCATTCATCACCCCGTACCCCTTCACGAAATCGAGGTAAAGCGGTGACGTCAAGCCAACCACAACTTGTTCACAAATGAACCTGGGACAGTGACAACACGAAGTTGTATTTGCAACTGGTCGTCGCTGAAATGAATGTGGGTAATCGACAGCCTTGCGAATTATCGATGACTAGGTATAAGAATGTTGCCAAGAAGTTTTTGAAGAAAACTAGCCTCCTACATTCGGCCAAACAAATGAAAAACAAATATGATAACTTGAAGAAAGATTGGATTGTGTGGAAGAAATTGCAGGATGCAAGCCAAGGCTTCACAGGGCTTGGGTACGACCAAGCGACAGGTTTGTTCACAGAACCTGATCATTGGTGGGCCAAAATGCAAGCGGTATGTAGTGCGATACTTTTTTTTTTCCTATACAATGTAGTACTGTTTCAATTCAAAGGAATTTTTGAATGTATTTACATGCATGTACATAATTGTGCCAAGTTTGTAGACCTCTTAAATATGTCATAACAGGAAATGAGACTATTATTTCTAAAATTATTTGTTGTGAACTGGACATCTTTCATCGATTACAAGTATTTGTATGGTTCAAATGTTGGTTTAACTTAGTACTGTATTTTTTATTTTTTTTTAGTTGCAAATCAATAGCACTGCTAGTGCACTTTCACTTGTCCAAATAATTTTTTAGCCTTAGTTTATTGTCCATGATGTAATTGATTATTACTAATTACATATTATTCGTTGAAATAAATTACTAGACTTGATTATTACTAATTGTTGCATTTGGTTACATATGTTAATTGTTGTGTCTCAGATGAACAACCGATGTGCCAAGTTCAAGACGAAGCCTCTACAGCACCTGGCTCTGATGAAACGGGTGTACTCTGACGCTGCTGTGACGGGAAAACATGCATGGACTCCAATTGAAATCTACGATGAAAATGTTGACGCGACGAATACAGTCGCATATAGGCATGGGACCTCTCAGTGCTGGCACTCCACCACATCCAAGACATGATATTGTCGAAGAGAACGTGGTAGACAGTTCGTTATTCGACGATGCTTCCCCATATTCAAACGTTGACGAATCAACCAATGCAAAATGTCGCAAGCGGCCAGGCCCCGATACTGTGGCATGTAGCATAAACAACCTTGTGGAGGCTGTTAGCAAACAAAACAGGGAACTGAAAATTACGCAATATGTTGTCACAGAGAAGGGCGAGAACATTGTGAACGACTGTCTGGCGAGGCTAATGGATACGCCTGGATTGGAGCCCAACGGTCAATTATTCTCATTTGCATACAGCATAATGGATTCACCCGATAATTGCGATATCATGATGGCCCTCCCATTGGATTACGTTATGAATTGATTGAAGGAGAAGCGTGCCTGCAAGCCGCAGAATGTTGGCAGAGAGCGTCAGCGAGATGTACATCTGGTCGGGAGTGATGGTGTGGTTGATATGGATTAAAGAGTGGACCTTGCATTGTCTTCTTTGCTTGTGCTTTGCAATTCTAGTTGAACTATTGTGTCCTTCACTCTGTGCCTTGCCTATATTAATTTCTTTTGCATTTGTTATTTTTGAAATAACTTATAACAAGAAGGATAGTTTCACAACAACGTAGTTATGAAATGTGTTACTAGTTTATGCACTGTCTTATGTGTGATGCAATGCGGGATAATAACATTTTATTAATTTCACTTGTGTTTGGGTGCATTTCGTTTAGGATGCTATAGGGAAGAAGATATATATATATATATATATTTTGTTACTGTTATGCAAATTGCCACAGCAACCATGAATGGTTTTTTTTTTGTGCCGTTTTGTAATAGAAGGCGTTGAGACAACGCCTCCAAATGCGTTAGACCTCACGCGCCTTTTTGAATCTACAAATAATTGTTTTTTTTTTGTAAAGATACGTTGTTGGGTGGATTTTCTTAAGGATGTTATAGGGTAAAATATATAATTTTTTTTTGTTTGTTATGGTTGCGCAAATTGGCACAGCATGTCCTGTTGGAATTATGGTTTTTATAGGCTTATTTTGGGTTAATTTTGAGCCTAAATTTGAGTGGGTCCCACACGCCTTTTGAGGTGGGTCCAAAGAGGTGATGTGTTCCTTGTCGCATGGCAAGTCATACGGTGAAGACGGTTCGTCAAAACCATTTATGAGTGAATGGGAATTTGACATCGTTTTTTGGTTCGTGTAATAGGAAATTGAAGAGTCAAAAGTGGGTTTTCTTGTAATGGTTGTCCCATATTGAAAACTTAAGAGAACTTATGTGTGTATATAAGTTCTAGGTGGCAACACTTGGGTTGGGCCCCAAGAGGCAACCAAATTTGTAAAAGGGAGGAGTTATGGACAAAGTGAACTTTGGCTCAAATTACTACGCACGCGCACGCGCCACCGTTGCCGTCCATCTGACTGGCTAACCATGCCAGGCGCGGGTTGTGGTCGGGTCGGTCCTAACATTAATTTTTTGGACAAAATTTATTTGAATTTTTCCAAAAATATTCTTGTGGGAAAAAATTATTTGAATTTTGAATTCAAATTTTCTATCCAATGAAGCCTCTTCCGGTCCAATTTCCAACAAATTAAAACTGCTCTTAATAGTTTGAAAATTGCCTAGCAGTTTCAGACAGGTTTAAAACTGCCTAGTAGTTTCCAACAGATCTAAAACTGTTTTGCACCTGTTCTAGTTTGAAAACAAATCTGTTTATTTCTTTTGTACCTACTCGGCTCTTCCCAACAGCCACCTAGTTACCTATAAATAGAGATCATCTTCCAGCAGTTTGTCCATTTAGAAAATTTATCTTGCTTCCCGTTTTTGCTCTTTTGCATTATCTATTCTTCATATTATTTTTTAGGAAAAATTCTGAAAGCATCGAACACAGGTTTTGTTCTCTGTACAGATTGTTTGGAGTGCTACTACAATCTGTGTAAAGATCATTGTATCTTGGGAGATAGACGTCATTTATCTGTAAGCACCGAAACGGGACGAATCTGTCTTAAGGACAAAGTATTACACACTCGACTTGATCTAATTTTGTTCCTTTTCATTTCAGTAAATAAATTCTATAAGAAATTTATTTTATTTGTTTGATTTGGTTTCAACTTTTTTTTTTACACGGAAGATTATTCCAACAATCTTAAGACAGATTCGAATTATTCTTTTTATACAGAATTTTTCGTCTGTTTCCTTTTCTTCCTTTCTTCTTCTTATAGAAATTATTTTCTGTGGTTTTACAAATAATATTTTGGTTGGAAAAACATATAGTAGTAATATACTATTTGAAAAATAGTAGTAATATACTGTTTATGTCAAGACCCAAACCCGCCCCTATAGGTTTAGCGTCATGACCGGCCAGTAATCATGAATTACCTACGGCTTCCACACAAATAGACTCTTGAATACAAGATATGAGGCTTAGCGGAAGTCTAAAATAACATAAAATCTTTCAATTGAGCAGTGCATACATGAAAAGGACTTCATATCATAAGTAAAGATTCACTTTTTATATACATGCACCACATTAGTTTCAACATCCACACTTTATAGTATTACAAAAAAAACTCAAAAGGATACGCATATAAAAAGAAAACATTTGTCAAGCAAAGGGGGTTCAACTAGCGTGGCTCTACTGAGCCCAATTACTGCTCTTAGAGGCTCCTCAAAAGGCTGACCCCGGTACACTCGAGGCTTTCTTAATTCTGAAGTTCAGCTTGCCCACCTACATATATATATAAATAACTAATGAGCTAGATCCCAATGAGTAATAACAGAACAAAGAGGTTATATGAATGAAGTTCAATAATATTGCCAAACCAAATTTCATTTCTGTTCTCATAATTCGTTAATTTCATCATCAAGATCTTTCAATATCATTTTATGTGGTACATCTATGAAGTAACAACATTCCAATGATAACGGACAATTGCGGTCTAACACTCACTACAAGAAATATAGGTTTTGGCGGCATTTTTTTAACGACACTTTTTAAAACGTCGCTTTTCGTAATATTTAGCGGCGTTTTAAAAACGTCGCATATTTCTGTAAATAAAACGGTGCCGTTTTGTAATAGAAGGCGTTGAGACAACGCCTCCAAATGCGTTAGACCTCACGCGCCTTTTTGAATCTACAAATAATTGTTAAAGCCTATGTAAACCCTTATTTTGAATACTCACGGCTTCAAATCTCGCCTCTCTCACAACCCTCTTTCTTCATCTCCCGATGTTGCTCCAGAGTGGTGTCTCTCTCTCTCTCTCTAGATCGATCTCTCGCTGTTAACCCTCTAAGAGATTCATCCTTCATCTTTGAGATTCAGAGATTTAGATCGGTCTCAGTGATTTCATCTCAAAGCGATTTCAATTTCGAAGCCCCACAGCGGTGTTTCTCTTTCTCTCTCCCTAGATCTCTCTCTATCAACCCTCAGAGTTTCATCTCTGAGATTCAGAGATTCAGTCGGTCTCAGTGATTTCGTCTCAGAGCGATTTCGATTTCGAAGCGCCAGAGCAGTCTCTCTCTCTCTAGATCTCTCTCTCTGTCAACCCTCTCAGAGATTCGTCTTTGAGATTCAAAGATTCAGAGATCAGTCTCAGTGATTTCATCTCAAAGCGATTTCGATTTTGAAGTTCTCTCTCTTGATTTCGAAGCTCCAGCGAGGTATCGATTTCTCTCTCTCTCAAGCTCTTCCTTCCCGTCTCTCTCGATTTGGTATTTATTTTCTTGGAAAACCTATTCAATTTCTTCTTTTGTTTGCTTTGTCATTCTTCCTTAATATGTTGTGTTTTTGTTTTGAGAAAATGCCAAATGTGCTTGTGATTATGACATTTGTTGGATTTGAGATCATTTGTTGGATTTGTTGGATTTGAGATCATTTTTGGACTTAGTTGATTATTTAGTTTTCTCAGATGGTGATCACAATGGCGGACGTTCTACTCATTCTGCTCATCTTGTTGAGGAAAAGTTGTCTGGCTCTTTCTCTATGAAGTATGGATTATTTCCCTCTCCGTAGTTATTTTATAATTTGGTTTCTTAATTTGTTCGAGTTTTCCTTGTGTAAATTAAGTTGCTAAAAGTACCTTGGAATGGCAGATAAACAAGCTAGTGGATATTGCTCGATCTGTAGCCAATGTAAACACTAACGACTACAGTGCCTTGGAGTATTTGCTTGACCGTCTAGAAAACCTAAAAAAAAAAAAAGGTCCTTCTCTCTGCTTTTTTTTTTGGTTTTTGTGGTTTACCATCCTGTCATCCTGTAATAGTTTTGAGTGCAAAATATTTGTTAAGATTGCATTTTGTACCTCTTCATATCTTCTGCGTTGGTTTTATACTATTGAAACTAACAATGAGATTTTTTGGGATGTAATATGCAGTAATTTAGTTGCCAATAACTTCACAATAGAAAGTTCGAACAACAGGTGATTCTCTCGTTGCTGTATTTTTTTGACCTTGTTCAGTAGCCTTTGAACACTCAATGTTGCTAAAGGAAATTTCAGTCATTTTCCATTATATTGTTTAGTGTTTAACACCATAAGCTGGTAACCAGCACCTTTATCAGTAGTCAAACATGCATGTGCTTGATGCTGCTTAGATTCACCAGATATAACACCTTTATAATCAATTTGCATTCTTTGTCTGCTTTTAGTGTTCTGCCTTCAGGATTGAGCTGTCTTCAAAGGAACTTTTCCTGCCATTGTAGTGTTCCTGTCTGTAAGTGCCTTCATGACCCTTCTTTTGCGTGTGTGTGTGTGTGCGCGCGTGCGTGAGAGAGAGTGAGAGAGAGAGAGAGAGAGAGAGAGAGAATCAGTAGGAATATGGGAGTCGAACTCAAGCCTCACCAATGGATATAGTAATACTATTAATTAGATGTTGTTCTGTTGAATGACTATCAGCATTTTTAGTGAGGTAATGTATAATTGAACCCATTAAAATGCGTTGAACCCATATAATGCATATGAATAAGGAGTTATGCATGGATGATTTTGATTTTTGTTAATTGAAAGCACATTTCCAAGCCCAAATCTGACGAATTCCTCTTTCCCATGGCTTACAGATTCCAACTTTGCAGTCAAGTGTGGTGTTCTAGTAATTAGATTATATATGAGAGGGATAATGAGACTCTGGGTCCAGCTACATATTATGTGACTAACTAGATGAAATCATTTAATTAAAGTGCTTCATGGAATTAACATACATATGCATGATATTTTTGTTCAAGGTGCTTCATGGAATTAACATACATATGCATGATATTTTTAGGTGAAGTAAACACATTTAATTAACATGAATCTGTCATAAAATTAGAAATCTATCTCATTGTGCATGTGCTAACTAGATGAAATCATTATGCATATATTAGTCATACTGATGTGATAGTGAAAGAATTATGGTTTGAGTTAAATTTGAACAATTTCATTTCCATCTGGTGCCAAAACTTACATAATTTTTTGAGACTCAAGGAAGAGTTAGACTCATAATTCGTCCATTATTATTTTGAGTTTTGTACTTCACTATATTTATTAATAAATACATCTATGAAAGGATGCCCAAGTTTTTAACTTGATTAAATTTGTTCTCCAGGCGCTTGGCATTCCCATTCATAGGCTTGTGCAGGCTGCTGATTCAGTTTCTATAGGGTTACATGGTGACTGACATTCTAAGTTATATATATATTTTGGTGTTGTGTTTTTACAACTTAGTTCTTAGTTGGACCTATTTTTTTTACGTGTCATGCATTAGTTATATTTCCCTATTTATGTTGATTGCATCGTTATCAACTTCATGTTTATTTATCCAACTTGGTGGCCTTGTTTGTCAATGATCTTTTGGGTTAACTTATATGTGATGTGGCTTTATCAATATATATTCACTTGTGCAAAGATCAAATTTATGGTGCAATAGATGTTGTTCCCTCCATTCCCTGTTCACAGTCCCTTTAGGATTCCAACTGTTTAGAGAGGCAGGCATTTAACGCGTTCATGCTCAAGTGGGAAGCATGAGCATCCAAAACTTGGGAAAATTTTCTGTGGTGGATTTCAGAGCTACTCTTTCAAAATGATAGTTTAGAAAAGTAACAAAATTTTGTACACTTCACTTTTAAAGTGAAGAACTATCGTGTGACATTCCAATATAAGAAAATGGACAAAAAGGACTTGGGACAAAAGGGGTATCATTTTTCTGTCATCTGTTTCTAAATCAGTTTTTAAAATGCTGCTTGTTTATTTGCATTGCTGGGTGCTGGTGTTCAGGTTTCTGAAGATGTTGAGGAACAAAGGAAAGAAAGTAGTTTGTCGGCCACTGATAATTTGGTAAATGAAGAAAATGCACAGCTGAAAGATGATGAAACCGAGGCACCTGATGGCACTATGGTGGGTGATGATCTGCAGAATCATAATGTTTCAAATGCTGGCAATGATACAGTTGGCAAATATTTTTGTTATGACTTGCCAGTTTCTGAAGAAACTGGGGTTTGGATACCTGTCTCTGTTCCACCGATGTCAGGGAGCGAACATGAAGAATGGAATAGGGGTTTTTCCTTCGGTGGGGGCTACTTCGCTGATGGGGACATGGGATGGAATCAGTTTGTTGGAGAAGAGAAAGAGATGACTATGTGGGATGTGGTTCTTGATATGCTACTTGTGGCCCGAGGGAAAGTGACTGCTCTTGCTTCAGGTGCTATAAACTCTTTACTTATCTAAAATATGGCTTTAGAAACTTTTGTATTGAATAGTTGCTATCATATTTTGTAGATGTAGTTAATGTTCTAACAAGCTAAGGTTTGTAAGGTAACCGAAAGGACGGTTCTTGCATGTTGATTGATTCTTCATAGTTTTCTACTCTACTTGATGGGTCTTCAAAAAGGAAAAAGAAAATATTGATTGCTTGAATACAATGTTGGTGCATCAGATTTCTTCTTTTTCTTCTTCTCCTATTATTATTTATTTATAATTTTTTTTTTGAACTTTATACCAAATGTGTTATGTGATGGATAGATGAGAGTGTAATCATGTTACTAATCGGTATAATAACGTGTCAAGAGCCTCATTATTTTATTTTTAATTTTGTTTTCAAACTTAGTTTATTTATTATTTTAATAAACAACAATTATTAGTTCTTAATAATTGTTTATGACAGGTATTTTTTCAACCATATAAAATTAGCACCACTTCAAAAATTAAAAAAAATAAAAATAAAAATAAAGGCTATGGCGGCGTTTTTTGAACGTCACTATATCCCTATCCCAACGGTTAGATTTTTAAAATGTGTAAATGTCTTTGACGGCGTTTAAAAAACGTCGCTAAATGTTATAGTGACGTCATAGTACAGTTAGGGTAGGACATTTGGCGGCGTTTTTCAAAACGCCGCCTATACTAATATACCGACGTTTTCCAAGCGTCATAAAGCTATAGCGACGGCCGCGTCTTCGGCGTTTGGTACTAAACGTCACAAAAAGAATTAGCGACGTTTTTAGTACCTATAGCGGCATTTTTCAAACGCCGCAAAAAATCGATTTTCCAGCAGTGACTAGAAATCTCTGTGTGACAATCAATCCAAAAGCCATGGGATTGTTACCCCCAAGCAAGGGCCTAGCCATGGTATTGTTACCTCCAAGAAAGGGCCTACATTCAAGGGATGCCACAAAATCATTTCAAAACAGAACTTCATTCATTATGAAAAATAAAAAAAATAAAAAATAACGTTTCAATAGGCCATGCTATCAATTATCATATTGTTTCAATAATTCATTCAATCAAGCGCGTATCCATCTCGATAGTAATAACATTTTTGAAAATAAAGATAAATTGAACATATCTTTATAGAGTTATTACTCACTGTGATTTGTGTTGTCACTAAGCCTCGGACGTCCACCTAAACAAAACACATAACAAAGCACAACTGAAACACCGTTTCATTTTAATTCAATTCTCTTTATGTGTTTCTAGCTTGTTTCATGACTATGTGAGTCCGAAAGGTGCCTAAGAACACTTGGAATGGCATGAGAATGCAAATATGCACTTAAAAGAGTTAGTCAAAATTTGCTGAAAACAGGGTCCCCGCTCAAACGCAACTTCTTTCACTCGAGCGGGGGTTCAAAAATAAGGGTGGTCGCTCGAGCGTAACTTCTATAGCTTGAGCGGTCTGCAAACTTAGCAAAAGTACTGGTTGCGTGAAATTCCCACTCGACGGTCGCTCGAGCGGAAGACTAAGTAAAAAGGGATCCTCGCTCAAGCATCACTTTGGTCGCTCGAGCGATCAGTAAAATTTTATAAAACTTCTGGGAGCTCGATTTTACACTCGAGCAAAGCTTTCCTCGCTCGAGCGGACAAGCAGAATTCTGGGATTTCTAGAACTGTGTTTGAAGTTCAAAAATGATAACCAAAGCCCCAAAACTTGTATTTTCTAGTGTAAAAACATGGAAAATCATTATATAATTTAAAACACTCCCAATTTGAAATCATTTACTCAAAATCATGATCCATTTGACAACCCAAAACTTGAAACTCTATGTTATGATGCATGCATGCATCACTTTGAACTTGTATCTTCCTATATCTCTCCAAAACTTGATCAACCCACATGCTAAGTTTGAAAACATGATAAATCCCTCAAGTTAAGTCACAAAAATGCCATGCATGTCAGAATTTCATGGATTCTTACTCAAAATGCACATGCATGTATGCAATTCAACTCTTTCATACTCAATTCATGGAAATCTAACACATGATTCTAGATTACATGCAAAAGAGTGCTAGAGCTGGTTGAATTAAACTTCCCCATGCAATATTTTCAAGAATTTAAGATGGATTTCATACCTAGTGTTGAATACAGGTGTTGGCCTAGCTCAATTCACTAAATCTCTAGCCAATTTTCTTCAATTCTCTTTCTTCTCTCTCTAAAGTGTTGAGCTCTTTTTTTTCTCTTTCAATTCTCAACCAAGAGATGTACAACATGAGCATAAAGGCTTATTTCACTTATTTATAAGGTGTGATTAACTTAGCCGAATCAAGTATGATTAAAGGTTAAGTAATTAAGCTAACTTCTAACAAATTTCAATCAGTTTATTTAAATTATTTTGATCCGAATAAATTTTCAATTAAAGATGTCATAAAATTCTAAATATTCTAATTATTCTATTAAGCTAATCAATTTCAGTTTCTGAAGCCGTCTAGGATCCCAATTTCTGTCTCTGAGTTGTCAATTTGAACAGATATTCCATGTGACAACAGATTGCTACAAAATTAAGCATGTAATCACACAATTAAACACACAATCATACAATTAAACTTATTAGAATAATATAATATAATAGTCCGGAGGTCGAGGGCGTCACAGTTTATTTCCCTTGACAACTAGTAATAATATACAGGTAGTCATTAACAATTCAGAATATTTATTTGTGAAGTTGGTCAGAAATTAATTTTGATTTTCATAAATAATTTCAAAGTTTTCATTAATTAAAATTTTGTTTCAGTATTTTAATTTTTGAAATGTTATAAAAAATTAATTTTATGTGTAGAATTAATTTGTTTAAATAAAATTTTATTTTATTTTCAAATTAATTGGAAATAAAAGTTACAATTCTTGTTTCTTTTATTTTTACAGAATTTAATTATATGGTTTTGGTTTAAATTTTATGTGTAGTATAAAATTCTAATTATAATTTTGTTTTATAATTTAGAATCCATGGCTACTGAAACTAATGCTCAAACTGGTACTGATATGGTGGCTGCAATTGCTCTAACCCCCTCTCCGGTTGTGACTGTGCCAGTCAATCACGGTGAAAAGTCAGAGAAGTTTTTAGGAACTGATTTTAAGAGATGGCAGTAGAAAATGTTGTTTTATCTTACTACTCTCAACCTGACATGGTTTCTCCGTGAGGATGTTCCTATTCTAAAAGATGATGAAACCAATCGGCAAGTAATTGCTACTGGCGATGCCTAGAAACATGTTGATTTCCTTTGTTGGAACTACATTTTGAACGGGCTTGATAACACATTGTACAACGTCTATAGCCCTATCAAGACGGCAAAGGAACTGTGGGAGTCTTTGAAGAAAAAGTACAAAACAAAAGATGATGGCTCGAAGAAATTCGTGGTTGGCAAATTCCTAGACTTTGTGATGGTTGATTCTAAGACTGTGATCAGCCAAGTTCAAGATCTCCAACTTACTCTGCATGACATCCATGTAAAAGGCATGTCTCTTAGTGAATCCTTCTAAGTTACTGCCTTAATTGAAAAATTACCATAAGGCTGGAAGGAATTTAAGAACTACCTCAAAGACAAGCACAAAGAAATGACTTTGAAAGAATTGATTATGCGTTTGAGGATTGAGGAGGACAACTGCAATTCTAAGAAGCAGACTGGTAAGC